TGTAGTGTTGTCACAACGTTTTCGAAACAGGAACAACGGAGTTGGATAAAGACTGAATGTGCCAGAGGCAATACAGCATGACAGTGTCATCAAGGTCTTCAAGAGGCTTGCGGGGAATCTGCATTGCCTTACAGAACAGTGGCAAGGTGGGTAAAAGCCTTCAACGATGGGCTCAAAAATGTGGCAGACAGTGCTATTTTAAATCGTGCCTTTTCAGTCATAAGATCTTTGAGATTAGATGGCAGGTTATTAAAAATGTTGATCCCAGCATAATATGCGCTTTTCTGAAAGCATGAGAGGTTAGCAATTGGTTTATGAAGACAGTGTTTACGTCTTGTGTTAACACTGTGTACATCCGCATTCATTTGAAAATGTTCTTTGTTATTTGTAATGAAGTTTATTAGAGAATATATATATATATATTCACAAGGAAAAGTTAAGTTCTGTAGTCTCTTTAATAGATCTCTACAGGAATTATGGGATTTGACACCCATCACGATTCTAACAATTTTCTTTTGCAGTGTAAATACCTTTTTACTGTCAGATGAATTACCCCAGGAAATTATTCCATACTTTACTAAACAGTGAAAGTAAGCAAAATAGATTGATTTGAGAGTGTCAATGTTACTAATATGCAACATGAATGTAACTGCATAACATGCTCTACTTAGCTTTGCAATCAACTGATCAGTGTGGTTTTTCCAGTTTAAATGATTAAAAATTGGCAAGCCAAGGAATTTTGTGTTTACTCCCTCTTCTATATATTTATCATTATAGTGGTGAGGTTTTTGTTATAAATTTTATTAATTTGTTTTTTCTAGGTTCAGGGACAGATTGTTTGCAGAAAACCATTTACTCGTTTGCAAAAGAACCTTGCTTGATAACATGCAGAAATATTCTACATTTTTACCAGAAATTATAACACTAGTGTCATCTGCGAATATTATAGGTATTGATGGGGTCCTTAGTATAGGAGGGAGGTCATTAATATAAATTATGAAAAGCAAAGGCCCCAAAATTGACCCCTGTGGAACTCCACATTTTATTATTCCCCAGTTTGAGTAGGTACTTTGGATTCAATACGATTGTGAATATGGAACTAAGAACTAATAAGAGAGATAACAACATGCTTTCACCAAAATCTAAGCTTAACTTAATTATAAAAACTAAGAACATTAAAAGAACTAACCAAGAACTAAACAAAATAAATAAGCATAAAATAATGATAATAGGTGATAGCCATTGTAAGGGAACAGCAAGAAATACAAGTGATTACTTAGGAGATAAATTTGCGGTAATGGGTATGATTAAACCAGGTGCGGGTATTGAGGATATCCTTACATCGATGAATCAGAATTTCAGAAGTCTGACCAAAAAAGATGTAATAGTAGTACAGGGAGGAGCTAATGATGTGTATAGAGATAACACAAGGCTAGCACTAACACAGTTTGTAAAATTCTGTAAGGATTTCAATAATGTAAATATAATTATATTAGATATCCCTCACAGGTATGAGCTGATGGAAACCTCCTGTGTCAATAAAGAAATCTACATATTCATTAGAAAACTAAGGAAATTCACTAAAGTATTCAAACATGTTACTATTATTGAAACGAATAATAATAGAGAAACTTTCACGAGTCATGGATTACATTTAAATTAAATAGGAAAACAGCAAATTGCAAAACAAGTGGCTAATGAAGTCAGAAGGCTCACTGATAAGAAAGTAAGTAGCATAATAAGTTTGGATTGGAAACATGTAAGTAAAGAGACTAGTCCAAACTGGATAATAGAACAGACAGATAAGAGTAATCAACTTCCAAGTGATGAAATAAGAAATATGAAGGAAGTCCTCAGAGAAATAGTAAAGGATGGTATAATGAAAACACGCACTATTGTAAATTGTGAGGAACCAGAAAAAAGTGAAAGATAATTCTGATAAGTTGACACAAACTAACAGCCCAGAAAATTTAGTTAATATGGGTAACTCTTCACCTAAAGAATTAAGAATATCTAAGAGGTCAAAGAGACCCCATTAACAATGAATAATGCTTTTTTATGGTAAATGGAAGAGGTAACCAAGATTTTTATTCACAATCAAGTCACCAGTAATAGCAATAAGCCAAATAATTTAAACACATTCTTTGTATAACAGAGCACCATCTAAATAGAGATGAAATCATACAGATCTCTATAACTAATTATAATCTTGGTGCACACTATTGTAGGAAAAGCAAGAAAAATGGTGGTGTAGTAATATTTATCCACCAATTTTAACAATATGAGCCTATTAATTTACAGGAATTTTGTATAGAACAAATAATTGAAGTGTGTGCTATGAAGTTATATCATCCCAATGACAATATTTGTATTTTAACTGTATATAGAGCTCCCTCAGGAAATTATATCCATTTTCTCAATATTCTAGAAGAAATACTTAACAGAATCTACACTAAGTTTAAAAACATTATTTTATGTGGTGACATAAATATAAATTATTTAGACAATATGGGTAATAATAAAATTAGGTTAGTATCCCTTTTAGCGTCATATCTTCTAAGCAGTTTGGGTGGGTAAATCAATTAGTGCTCTGTTGGCTATTTTGATTAGTGGGTGGGTTGTTTGTATGGGTTTGTTCATTTTATGTTGATTGTCGTAGGGGGCCCCTTGATACGTTAGTGATTTCTACTACTATAATTAGTGTTATTAGTAGGTATAGGGCTATGAAAATGGTTAGGGCCCCTACTAGAGTAACAAAGACCTCGGCTACAGCAATTGACAATATCTTCATTAACAGAAATATATATGCAACATTTACAGTAACTCCATTACCTAATGGGCTTTCAAATCATGACGCCCAATTGCTCACATTAAGAATAACACCCTTTTTAAATTCTTCCAGTTCTTCTGTCACTAGAAGATCAATAAATGAATACTATATAAAAGAATTTAAGAATAATCTCAGTTATGAATATTGGGCTGACGTATTTAATATAATTGAAGATGTAAATATAATGTTCAACAATTTTTTAAATACATTCTTAAGAATATTTAATAATAGTTTTCCTTACAAAAAAATAATATTCANATAAATATAGAAGGTAAATTATGTAATATACAAAAAACAGCTAACGTAGTTACATTAATAATTATTTTATATCTCCACTACCACAATTAAAAAATAGTTCAACTAAAGACAGGAATGAAGCCCTTAAATTCCTTACTGCTATGTTTAAACACCCTTTTCCAGATATATATATATATATATATAT